AGCCTTTTTTTTTTTTTTTTTTTTTTGTTTTTTTTGTATACATCCTTTTTATTTTACCCCCCTTAACACATTGACACACCTTTTACCGTATACGAAATCGACATTTAAATCTATCGATAGAATAGATTCTTCCCTTTCCTTCTTCCTTTTTTCTTTTTTTCTTTTCCTTTTTAATCCAATCTCAGTTTCCCATCTAACGAGTTTCTTACTTTCACACTTTGATATTCAAATGAACAGGCTTAGTCAATTATACGTTTAATTACTATATAACATAAATCGATATAATACGCGAGACGATGTATTTTAGAAAAATTGATATACCAACTCGATCGAAATGATAAAAGGGCCGGTTATTGTAAAATATGTTCAATATTAATCGTGTAAAGTAATTATCTTGAAAAAATGTTTCTTTTTTTCTTTTCTTTTCCTTCTTCTTATTTTCTATCATTTTATCGATGAATTATTAATATTAACTTGTAAGATAAATTAAAATAAAAGATATTTTCTAAGTAATCAAGTTACTTACGAGTCATCCTATATAACAGGGATGTTTAAAACGTACGTACTCTCTCAACGTTTGGATAGTTACATGTAATAGCTCTATCAAGAAATATTATACCTATACATATATATTTATATACACACACACACACACATATATATATATATATATTTATTTATAGTATAGACGAGAATATTATAGGTAAGAAAATTTAATTCCTCGATAAAAAGAGAAAAACTTTTCTCTTTTCTTCATGCATTGGTGGTAATCGTTGAGAAGGGTTGAGAAAGAAGGGGGGAATATGAGGGGAGGGAATAGGGGGAGAGTTTATGGCATAATCGGTCTCTCCCACCGTAGGAGGATTAATTTGCGAGTGTCGCCTGTTAATAAATCACGTTGGACTTACCCATCTTCGAATGTGTTAGTGTATAAGCCCTTAGTGGCTTTGCAAGTAGAAAAGCCGGCACACCGGCTCGTACCAAAGCACCGACTCTTCTGTATACACGTGCACTTCCGGTACCGCTGTTGTTTGACACGACCGAAAACCATCCTGCAATTGTAAACGTCACAAATTGTTATTTTTCTATTTTTTTTTTTCATTATTATTATTATTATTTTGTTCCGTGAATATTAATTGGTTTCATTTTCCTTACACACAATGAAAGATCCTTTTTATGTTTTTTGTTTTGTTTCTGTCTCATACTTTACGAAAATAATTATTTTTTAAATAAATAAAATAATTAAATTAATTTATTATTTTTGTTTATTGTCAAAATAATATTCTATTTTCAAATAATTTTTTTTTTTTTTTTTTTTTTTCATAGATCACCGAAGTAATTTGTAGAAACATTAATATTATATTATTATCTTAATTTATAATCCGTTCGTTATTATTGACAATCTTTTTAAGATAAATATATTATATATAAATGGTATGTATACGTAATTATTCATTAAAAATAATCTTATATAATAAATTCGTTACCGAGACCTTCAACTAAAGAGAGTAAGTATCATTTTTATAATCTTAAAAGATATCACAAATACTTAAGTAAGTATAAGATAAAATGTTTATTAAGGTAAATCGTTGGACAAGTTGTCAGATAGGAGATAATTTGTATTATCTAGAAACTATAAGATATTATTTAGATATACTTGATCTAATAAACCTATAATTACTATAAGATCAAATCTCGTTTGATTCTCAAAGAAAGTTAAGAAACTAACATACATACACAAATACACATATACACATATATAAAAAAGTAAGTACTTAGATACTTCACTTGAGTATGAGCTTCTAAACGTGAAAACGCGTTCCGGTTTTAAATGCCTTTACTTTCAACGATATAGAAATAAAAATATAAATCAAAAAGAAACAACAACCTAGTAGTAGTAGTAATAGTAGTAGTAGTAGTAGTAGTGGTATCATAAAGTAAACGTGATTCGCGAGGGAGACCATTAAATTCGTGCGACTTGTGTCAGTTAAATGGCGACTAATAATTCTTTTTGCGAAATAACAATGTTAATTCGACCCACTTTTCGTGGTAATAATAATAATAATGATAATTGGTGGTAAGAGAATTTCGGTGTCGTATTCTTTCTTTTTATAGATTCGTTTAATTTTAACAAGCAAGTTCGAAGACATTTTATAAATATAACAAACAAGTTTTAAAATGAATAATGATAAACAAAGCTCACACATACTTTAATAAATAAATTCCACAAATAGGTTAATCCGTATGTGAATTTTAATCTTTCATTTAAATCATTGGATTCCTTGCAATTCTTACTGACTGCAACTATAATAACAAATTTATTTTGTAAACATACCACCCCCCCAACCCAGTCCAACCCCTTCTCGTCTTTTCATTTCTTTTTTCAAGGGCTCACATTTTAACGTGCACAGGTGTAGGTGTACGTGAACCCTTCATTCACATTTCTTTCTTTTTTTTCATTTACATTATTTTGTATTCTTTTATTATCTCTAGTTGCATTTTTCTTTTTTGATTTTATTTTTCGTTTACGTTTCTCTTTCACGAAACTTTCTTTTTTTTTTCAACGTTAAGAAGGATATTAAATTAATAATTTATCTTCGATATACGTAAGCGTGGACGTGCTACTCGTATGATATAATTTACGGTCGAATGTAAACATCCAACTCGCGTTATCCTTCACTTTACTTCTCTCTTTCTCTTTCTTTCTTTTTATATTTCTTATGGTAGTATTTGTACAATGGGGGGACGGGCGTATAAATCGCACGAATCGATTTGCGTGAGTCCTTACATCGTATTTCCGCCGGGCCCTTTTTATTCTCCGTCTTCTTCTTTGTGTATCTTTAGATTTTATTTTTCAAATTGATTTACAACGACACGCGTCCAACTAAATACCTCGTACTCGGACGTTTTCTTTACGATTATATTATACCTTCCCTTCCCCCTCTTCTCCCCGAACCCCCACCCCCCTAGTCCCCTTCATTCTCTGTATTTTTTTATCGCAAAACAAACCCAAAGTGTAATCCCTTTAACGCAAATCCCTCCCGTGGTTATTTCCAAGAACGAAAGGCCGATCATTTTTATCCTCGTTCTGTGTGTGCTTTTTTTATTTATTTGTTTGTTTTATTTACATTAATATTTTATATTTGTTTATTCAAACATTTACGGGAATTAACCCCATTTGTTACATAACCCAGAATAAATATTGAAAGATAAAGATAATATTAATATAAATTAATTAATTTAAATATAAAAAAAAAAAGAATATACATACGAAATTAATGGAGATTTAAAAAAAAAAAAATGGACAATAAGTGGTAGCAATAAAAAAGATTAAAGAGAAAAAAAAAAGGAAAAAAGGAAAAA